AACTACTATTTTACAATGGGGTCATTGAGGTAGACTGCCTCTCACCCTTTTCTGCCATGGGTATTATTCTGACCCATCACTTAGAATACACAACATAATCTCCTAAGTATTTTGGCTTCTTCAAGAGTCTACCGAACCGAGTGGTATGGACCTCCTCTTCACTGCTCTGTGGTGGAGGTGTAGTTTTGCACGGCGTACTGGGAGTTGACTTTATGGGACTGGGTATCATAATTGGTTCGCTGGTAACGTCAGTGGGTTTAATCGGTACCTCTGGTGTTTCTGCAGCTACTGTCCCCCGGGATTGGTTTGGAGTGGTGACCTCTCGACTAGGTCTGAGGTGACTACGGTTCCTGCGGTAAATTTTGTTGTCTTGCTCCACTAGATAGGATCGAGGGGCGAGTTTCTCCACTATTCTGCCAGCAGACCATGAGACTGACGATTGCGGCCTTAGATTGGTACGCACAGGCTGTCCGATAACCAGAGGAGGCAGTTCCTTGCTTCCTTTGTCATAACACTTCTTTGCTATTCTCTTCTGGTTTACTTGTTTCTGAAATACCTGGTCTTTTGGTACTACTATTGGCTCTAGCTTGTCACAGCGTACGGGAATGAGCGATCTAGTGCGCCTACTCATCAACTTTTGTGCTGCACTCCCCGTGTTGTCTGCGGCTGGCGTGTTTCTGTGCTCTAAAACTGCTAACCACAAATCGGTACCGTCTTGTTTTGTTCTCTTGATCAGGGTCTTTGCCACTTTAACAGCTGCCTCAGCTGTGCCGTTACCACTGGGGTGGTGGGGAGATGATGTATGATGGTTAATCTTCCACGCCTCGGTGAACTCTCGGAATTGCTGACACTGATATTGAGGCCCGTTGTCAGAGATAAACAGCTTTGGAATGCCATGTCGAGCAAACTGCTGCTTCAATTCATTGATCACTGCTTCTGAAGTAGTGTCACTGAGTTGAGTGATCTCCCAGTACTTTGAGAAATGATCTACAAGCAGCAAATAATGTTCCCCTTGAATGGAAAATAAATCACTGCTGACGATTTCAAATCGCTCCTTGGGTATAGGCTGAGAATGCATTGGCTCTTTCTGTTGGCGAGGCTGATTTTCCTGACAGACGTTGCAAGTTGCTACCACATTGCGAATGTCATTGCTGATCTGAGGCCAGAAAATCGCATCTCTAGCTTTACGTATAGCTGTCTCTGTTCCTTGATGAGTTGCATGGACTCTCTCCAGCATCTGTTTACGTAAGATAGTAGGAATTACTACTCTGGTGCCTCGATAGAGGATGCCATCTTGACAGGATAACTCGTCTCTATATGGCCAGTATTCACGGCATAACAGGGGAACTTGAGTTTTGTCACTAGGCCATCCTTCCATGACTAGGATCAGCAGTGACTGCATAGCGTCATCCCGAAGTGTATGAGTCTTTACTTGCTCCAGAGACTCATCGGACACATTGTTGTACTGCGAGTAATCAATCTCCTCGACTTCTTTGGCCAACTTCTGCTCGGATTCTACTGCGTAAATCTCGTAATCTGAGTTCTCCTTGGTAGTTACTGACTTGGACGCAGTTGCTCTAGATAATGCATCAGAGATATACATCTTTTTACCACGCTGGTACTTCACCTCAATATGGTATTTCTGTAGCCTGAGGCGCATGCGTTGAAGTCGCTTTGGGGCAGCCAAGATTGGTTTCTTGAATATTGTCTCTAGGTTTTGGTGATCCGTGAGTACTGTGATATAGTCTCGGCCATGGAGATACTGATCGAAACGGTTACATGCAAATGTTATGGCCAAACATTCTTTTTCCATCTGAGAATAGTTGCGCTCTGTTTTGGACAATGCCCTTGATGCAAAAGCTACAGGTTGTCCAGCTTGCAGTAAGACTGCACCTAACCCGTAATCGCTGCTATCGGCTTCTACTGTAACTTCCTCTGTTAGGCTATAGTATCTCAAAACTGGGGTCATTGTCAACATTTGTTTCAATGTACAGAACGTCTGCTCATGCTGATCTGACCATATAAAGGGTGCATCTTCAGTCGTCAAGCGTCTCAGTGGTTCGCTCACTGTTGATAAATGAGGGCAGAACTTGGCCAGGTAATTCACCATGCCAATTAGTCTTTTCACCGCTTTAGCGTTCTCCGGCCTTTCCATTTCTACTATGGCCTGCACCTTCAATGGATCTGCTTTCAAACCTTCATCTGAGATCACGTGCCCGTGATAAGTAACTGAGTTCAATTTGAATCGAAGCTTAGTCTTGTTCATTTTGAAGTTCCTCTCACGACATCTCTCTAATAGTGCTATCATATTTTCGTCATGATTCTTGATCGCTTCCTCAGAGGTATCTCCTTTACCATACACCAGGATGTCGTCTGCGATGGTCTGGACTCCGTCAAGACCGTCCAGTAGGTCTATAACTCGCCTCTGGAACTCTTCCGGGGCTGATGAGATGCCGAATGGTAAACGTCGCCAACGATACCTGCCAAATGGCGTATTGAATGTCGTAAGAAGGCTGGACTCCTCATCTAATCTCACCTGAAGGAAACCATCTCTAGCATCTATAACGCTAAATACTTTTGCATTAGTCAAGTTTGCACTTACTTCCTCCAAGGTTGGAAGTTTGAATTTTGGAATCTTTACAGCTTTGTTGAGTTCTTTTGGGTCTAGGCATATTCTTAACTTGCCTGGCTTCCTCACCGCCACCATCGAGCTTATCCAATCCGTTGGCTGATTTACCCTCTCAATGATGCCTTGTTTCACCATGCTCGCCAGCTTTTCTTTTAGCTCTTTTCTCAAAGCTACTGGTACGGACCTTGGTGAGTCTTGTTTTGGTATAACCTTAGGGTCCAGCTCAATGTGGTATTCTCCTAGGTCACCTAAACCACTAAACACATCATTATACTTGGCGAAGATATCATCCTCTGACAGTTCCGTGCTAACAACGTTGATGAGAACATCTCTCTTTATCTTCATCAGACCAAATCTCTCTGATGTCTCTCCATTGAGTAACGAACAAGTGACATTTTTCACTACATGAAACTTTACGTATTCTTCACGGTTGTTTATTCTCATGTTAAGTGTCACCTGCCCCATATTCTCAACACGGTTACCACTGTATGAGGTTAGTCTCTTGCTGCTTTTCTTCAAGACTGGCTCATTAGTGCTCATTATGCGACAGCAATCCTCATATCTCAAACAGTTTACACCTGCTCCATTGTCTAATTGGAATACTTGTGGCATCCAAGAGCTGCTTCTCTTGTATTGGACTGATGGTTCAACAAGATATGTGGTCCTGCCGGTTTTAACTGTGAATACTGACGATTCGGAGTCGCTATCTTCAGGATCAGAATTATCGACTTGGTGGACTTTGGCCCCTTGTGACCTACACATGCTAGCGAAATGATTTAGTCGTCCACACTTCTTACAGCGGCGACCCCATGCTGGGCATTGACGCTTGGGATGTTGCGTCCCGCAGTAGCTACAATCCGAATGGCTCTTCTGTTTTTGCTCTCCTTTCTTGTCTGTCTTGTGTTCAGATACTGCCGTCTTCATCTTTGTCCCGGCTTTTTTCATTTTTGGTTTCACAGCATGCACAGTTTCAACCTCACCATCTATGGCTTTAAGTTGCTGCGTCGTCATTTCACTCGCACGACACGTGTCAATACACTTTGCTAATGTAAGGTCCTTTTCACGCAACAATCTAGCCCGGACAACAGAGTCTCTCACCCCTATCACAATACGGTCTCTGATCATTTCATCTAAAAGCGTTCCATACTTGCAAGTGGCACTGAGTTTCCGCAGCCTGTTCACATAGGCATCAATCCCTTCACTGGGCTCTTGTGTACAAGTATTAAACACGTATCTCTCATAAACAATGTTGCGTTGTGGCTCAAAATGATTTGTCAAAGCTTCCAGTATTATTTTAGAGTCCTTGCGATCATCATCACTCAGGGCTAAATTCTGAAATATTTGAAAACAGTCTTTGCCCATGACCGTAAGTAAGGTAGCTACTCTTATCTCTTCCGACTTAAGATTTAGTTCTGTTGCAATTTCATAATTCTTCCATGTGTCTCTAAAAAATTGCCAGTTAGTTGCACAATGTCCCTTCACGTCCATAGGTTGTGGCGGAGGTAACAAATTCGCTGTTGCAGGGGTAACTGGGGGTGTACTAGTACTGGTAGACATGATTAATCTATGTAACAAATACACAGCTTCTGCAGTTCTACTTTAAGGTCACAATCAACAGTATTTGCTTGTTAAATCTGTCCCGTTTGTAACTTCTAAAAAAACTCATGAATATATGTCTTTCACTAATCACCAGAGTTTTTTTATTATCGACTTCCGATGCCTGAATTTCTGTTCAGTCGGTTCCACTTTTCATCCATAAAATCGTATGATCAACAGATTTCTTCTTTGTATCACACATACCTTCTGTTTCTCTGGTCCTTTAACTTAGTTCTTGACCACTTTAGAAATCGTGTCTTCAGCTTATGTAGACGTGAGCACGAAATTCTGACACCATGTTAATGGAATAAGTCAAACACGTGGATATAACTGAACCGGAAGTGCTCTGGGAGCGTTTATTATATAACAAGTATCAATAAGAGGGAGCATCCCTTAACAGATGTCATATTAGGAATTGTGAACTCCTCTCAAAGAGGCAGGGAAACAAAGAAAGACCCTGATGTATATGTTTTGCTGTGTTGTACTAAACATGGGTGAGAGTTTTTAGGATGATGCCTGATTTCAGGATTTTCAGCCCTCATTTTGATTTTTTTTTTTCATTTTTGAAGTGGTCTAAATCCAATGAGAAATTGCAAGTTATATCATCAGGCTTTACAGTTTCTACAACTTTCATCCATGTTAACATGTTGTTGTCACAGAATTATTTAAACAATATTTTGGATTATTTCAACCTGAAGTAGGTGATATGAAAGGATGTAATGGGGTTCGTTGTGCTCTGCACAGATAGCTTGTCATAGTTATTGTAGTTTGAGAATGCTAATTGAATGTTGACTGGCATCTAAAAGCTCATTTGTGAATTATCTTAAGATGTTAGTCTCATCCTAGAATCAAGTTAATTCCACTTTCCATAAACTTTTAAGTCACATATGGACATGTGACTTCTCCTGGTGTTGAAAATTCAGAAAGTGACCAGTAGGGATATAGTTTTTTGACTGGGAAAACTCTCTATAAGTCTACTAAATATCTGCAAGCACAAATACTTATCATCAAGTATTTGGTAAAGAATGTGCACCAAGAAAAAAGGCATTTGATGATATATTGTTTTAATACTGTAACATAGAAACAATTACACAAGATGTGCATGCAACATTTGGCAGACATGAGACCTCAGCTGTATATACCATAGAATAAATAATTAGTCACAATGATAAGTGAAATATTATGTTATGCAACCAGTGGTACATTTGACAAACTTTCTGGAGAAAAGACTAAGCTACCATTAAGATTGACAGAGTATGAGATTTGGAAATGAAAAATTGTATAACAGTATTATTACTGAAATCAAACCTCTGAACAAGATTCATTTTACATGCTTAGGCAGATAAATGTACAGATAGTTCCAATTTTGCACACACTGATACAAAAATATTTACAATATTTACATAATTAGACACAAGTTTACATTTAATATTCTTTTGAAGTACATCATTTACTTTGTAAGGGGTTCTATTGGCTATTAACAGAGGTTGTTATTTGGCAAGTACAATATCACATTCTGACTACTAACGATCCTAGTTCATGAAAAGAATAAAGTGTCTTAGGCAGTATTGTATTCTGATAGTACAAACAGTTTCACTTCAAGAGAAGTATGAGGCTTGTTTGGCAACTGTAAAGTTGTGATCATACAAACAGTTCTAGATTGTGACAAGTTCATGATAAGTTTGCTGCCCTTTTAGCAAGTCTTGCCCTCTGGTTCTCAAACCACCGTGTAACCTGAGTGACAGTCAGACCCGTCGTGAGAGACAGCTCCGTAATGACCTTGTGGCTAGGAAATAGGTTGTATCCATTCTCAGACAGCCATTTTCGAAGTGGGCTTGTGAAAAAACTTTGGTTACTTGGACGTGGAATGTATGGAGCTGGGCGACATTTTCCCTTGGGTTTCCGCTGAGTCAATGTGACTGTTGAGGAGACGACTGTGCTACCACAAGATGGAGGAGATGTGGTCATGGGACTTGTAAAATTGTCGCAATTTTCACGATTGTTCGGAACAGGTGCTTTGTAGGTCTCTGGTATAGATGGCGCTTCAGGTGAAATGGGACTTTCGTGGCTGCGTGCAAAGTCTGCGTCACAAGTGACAGTCAGAAGATTTGAGTGTTCCGTGTCTGTCCTCTGAGAGACGAACTGCTCTAGTAGCTGTAGACTCTTCTGCACACGCTCCACCAGCTGGTATTCAATCGTATCGTAATGATGATTGATAGCTTGTTTAACAGGGTCGGAGCCAGCACTGGTGACGGATGCTAGAGCCTGACGACGTTCCCCATCCAGCTGATGTCGTTGATCCAGATACACACTGCGTAAGTCTCTCACCTGATCCCTGGCTTTGAACTGGAGACGCATGAACTGCAGCTCCAGAAACGACGCTCGTGTTTTGATGGGGACTTGTGTCGGACGGGGGAGGCTGCAGAGAAGGCTGGAGGGCACGTTGGTGGAGTAGCACTCTTGTTGCAGCAAGTTGTATAAAGCCATGTAGTCCGCCCCAGTGCCTACGCTTGCTCCTGGTGCCTCTCGGGTAAGTGACGGATAAGAGAAATGCCCGACGGACTGCTCGGTGCTTGGTGAACTAGGCGTCATGGAGGAATCTGTTTGACGGCAGGAATAGAGACCTGGCGCATGGTCCGATGTAACCTGGAAGAATGAGGTGAAAGGATACATTAATATATGAGCTGGGAATACATTATGCACAAAAATAACTTCTTTGCGGTTTACAGACATAGGTGCAAATTGAATCCAATAGGTATTGATTACTTGGAAAAGGAAGTAACAGAAAGTGAGACCCGCTGCAACTTGTTAATGAATAAGGATACTGGGTGACGACATATGGGCCTATTTTTTTTCATTAAGGGCAACTATGGCTGCTTTGATTTGAAAAATTATTTTTGAATGAGCATGAAAAAACCCACATCTACTATTACTGTCTTTCAGAAAATATTTTTTGTATGAAAATGAACATGATCTAGAAGAGACAACAGAATTTGAATCGCAGTGACTCTCTTTTGTACTATTAACCAAAAGTATTTATATCAGATGTTTTCATAAAATTGTTTTGCTTCAAGTTGAAATAACGATCATGTAATAGTTTATTTAAGGGGCAGCTCTATGAAAAACCATAAGACATAGATGATAATATGATACAACTGTCACTGGCAAAAATGACTTTTTTCAACTTTCTATGGATTTCCAACTAATTGGATATTTCCAACAGTGGATTTCCGAAATTTTGGTAGCCAAGAAGTCTCATCCCTGAACTGGAGATGTGATACTGTAACATCGTACATACCTCTGAGTTGTCACAAACAGGTGTCTTCAGCTTGCTCTCCATTTGGGGAAGTTGACACTATTTTTGGCAGTTGACACTTCTTAGCAGTTGAGACTGGCACTGCTGGCACCTTGTACTTGATGGCAGTGTATCTTGTTTCCACAACAATAACTTCTTGGTTCCTGACACAGAGGCTGACACTTGATGCTGGCAGGTTGACACCAGAAATGTCACACATGCCATGGGGCTTCCCCTTTTATAACATGCCAACAACCTGCCAGCTGCCACTTTGTCTCCACACCTATGATTGGCCACCCTGTCAAGTTGACTTTGGACTGTTACCAGTGATTGGTTGATTGGATTTTAATACAAAGTTGGCAGGAGTGTTTGTGACACAGTTGATTAGCACCTAACTTAGTTGTTAACAAGTTCCAGGTAAAAAGTTCACCCATCCAGTTAAGAGGGGGATCAGGTATTGTTTACCTGTAGCCAGGTAGCCTAGGTAAATTGTCTTGATTGCAATCAAGAGTGACTATAATTGCTCACCTGAGTTTTGCACAGATAGGTGTGGTACACCCTGCCCAGGTAACCAGCTTAACCCTGCAATTAAGAGTGTCACCTATTGTTTACCTGGGGACAGGTAACCCTGGTTGGACTCTACTTGATTGCAATCAGGAGTGTCATTAAAATTTTGCCAGTCCCTTGGTGCTGATGGAGAACAGTGATATGGATAAGGTGGAGGGATGAGGAATGGAGATTATTGTTCTAATGCCAAGAGTTGTTTGTCACTGATTTGAGTAAAAGTGATGTTTGTTTGTGTCATGTACTGGTTACATTGGTGCCTGGAGTTGTGCTTTGTTTACACTTTTAAATTGGAACTCAAATATATTTATTTATATATTTATTTATTTACATACATTGTAATTGTCAGACATTGACACTGCAATTGTGTGTTTTTATTTTGATCACTCTGATCTTACAACTTTTGCATAGATTGTTACACCTAGTGAATACAGTTTTGAAAGACTTCAAGAAATGTTGGAAATTTTGTCTGGGTTGTTTTACACTGTCTGGAAACACTGTCTCGTTAGCTTCCTGCCATGGTCTAACCTGACTGTGAACTTCCGGAATGAATTCATATATTTCATAATTTCTTTAACATATTAAGTTAATGAATGTCAAAGGGTTAGGTGTGCAAATTTTGTCGGAAGTAATTAACACTTTATGTAATGGGCCTGCATCGATTTCAACTTGTTTTGCAGACACTGTAAGAAAAAAAAAATTCCATTCAACTGATGTCAGTAAAATATTTAGAAAGATAAACTGGCAGTAGTGTCACCCTCCAATTAAAATATAAACTTCAGATTAGTACAATTTTTTTGCAAAATATTTTTTGACTTTCTGCACGAAATTGTAAATGCCCAGAAACATATGTATCCCTGTCTTCACATCTTGCAAAATGACTAGTCTTCGTAAGTCGGACCTAAAAATGATTTTGAATAATAATAATGATTCAAATTCAGATAAAAATTTAACTTAGAATCCATTAGATTAGGGTGTTCCGTAATGTATTGTGTAAATAATAATGAGAATTGATATACCTTGGTGAGGCCAGTGTAATGTGACAAAGAGTCCCCCATGATAGAGAGTCCAGTTCCCATTCATTTGGACAGTAAGCCTTGTCTTAGATTTTGACCCATTTAGGTGAGGCTGACCCTAAGGTGGAGGGTGGACCCTCTACTCCAGGGACCCTTGGTTTCATCACACTAGCACTCTCCAAGTTCTTTCCTACTTTTATACTAAACATCTAAATAACCAATAGTTAAAAAAGAGAGACTAAATAACCTTAACAATTGTCACAGAGGTGGAAAAATTTGTGAACGCCAACACTCAGGAGCTTGGAAAGGACAAGTGGTTATGTCCATTGAGTGGGAAGAAATTTAAAGGCCCCGAATTTGTACGGAAACATATCCTAAACAAACATGGGGAGAAGATTGATGAAGTAAAACAAGAGGTTAGAAAAGAGACGGAAAAAGAAAAACAAATTTAATTTTTTCGTGAGAGAAGTATTTTGAGAGATTTAGTTGTTGAAAAAGAAGAAAAAGGGAAAACCTTTAAAAGTTTTTTCAAAGAAGCAAATAAAAACCTTTCAGAATTGAAGGTTTATTCTTCAGCTCTTTTATTAAAAGGCTGTATTTTTCTACTTCTTAATTAAAAGATTGTATTTGTTAACTCTTGTTAATTAAAAGTTTGTACTGTTCAACTCTGCTTGAATTATTGACTGCATTCTTCAACTTGTCTTGATTCATAGGTTGCATTCTTCAACAACTATCTTCTGGACACCAAGCGTCCCCAGCTACCGGAACATCCCGCCAATCGTCAGGGTGGCATGCCGATGCCCCCAGGGCGTGACAACTACAACATGCCACCAGGGGGCGGGTACGGGCCACCTCAGCAGGGGGTCATGGCCTACAATCAACCCAGACCACCCATGATGGGATACCAAGGTAAAGGACGTGATCGTAAGTTTTGGATTTGGTGACACCCTGTCCCCCCACCCCCCAGTGTTATGACAAGAGATGAACCTCTTCTGGATTAATCTGAAAATCTGGATGTTGAGGTGTTGTGTCTGAGGTTCCAGAACTTTAACACATAGACCTTTGTGTTATCATGTGCATTTTCTTATATATATATATTTATATATATATATATATATATATATATATATATATATATATATATATATATATATATATTTCTTTTTCATTTTTATAACTTGCTTGATACTATCAGTAAAAGACTTAAATGTTTTCCTGTGCTCGCTTAATTTTTTTGTTTTTTTTTTAATTAATTAATTACTTTGTTGTAATGTGCAGATTCCTTTTTTTTTTTTTTTTTTCGTCAGAATGGTATATACAGACTGCTTGGTCCCAGCTAATAGTTTGTGTTTTTTCGGAAACAAATAATGTCTTCTAAAGCAAACTTAGGTGAAAGTTATACACAAATAAATGAATGTCTTGGGGTTTTATATCTCTAATTGTGGTAATACTGGTATTGTTGTGAGAGACAGAGAGAGAGAGAGGACATAGATTCAGTTCATAAGTTTCTGTTTTTGTTTTTTTTTTAATGTCCAGTGATGCTACTGTAGCTGCTGTTTGTGGTAACTGATACCAATCTATAGCTCTGTGGTAAAATGCCCAGCTGTATTGAAATAATAATTTTGCTTATTTATCTTCAGGAGGTCCCCCGCCTCAGTATCAGTCCCCTAACTATGGAGGCAGGAGAGAGGAGCCTTACAGACAGGATCCCTACAGGAGACCTCAGTTATCAGCAAGGTCAAGGTGAGGTTAAGGTCACTTTATATTGTTGAATGGAGAAAAGGAAGAGACTTACGAGATGTCACGTGTTTTAGCTATTCGAGCCAGCATGGGAAATATTTATATATTTGCACTATTCAGTTGAATTTTAAGTGGTAAGTAAGTAAAACTTGCAACAAATTTGAGTAAAAATATAATTTTGTAGTAAGTTCTGTTTGTGACTTGCTTATATATATATCTGTAATCTCGGTATTTTTCAGACTGGGAGATAGACCTCAGGGGCGCAGCAACTATTCTAGGTAAGTTTGATTGGTTATTCTTTGCATATATTCTTTGCATATATAAAATCTTTGTCAGCTTGATTAACTGAATGAAATGAGGAATCCCAGGAGTCATTTTAAAATTGGCTGAGCTGATTTTGTATATGACTGTCTATTGTGGTATATTTGGGAGGAAAAATTGATGAGGTGATATCGAGTTGCCAGTTGAAAAGGGGGGAGAGGACAGTGGCTGTATGGGATGGATGGAGGGGGGAGGAGGGGGAGTAACGACATTCTTTTAAGTTCCCATTTACAAATATTAATATGTCTCCTGATTTTTTTCCACTGGTCTCGTAAACAAAAATAGTTTGTGCGAGGGACCCTTGTCAGTGTAATGCTTCATTGTGCGAATATGCGACACTTATTTTTAAATAAAATATTATCTTGTAGACCCAATGATCGACAAGTGGGACTGTCAAGGTAAAGCTGGCCTTGTTCTACCCCCAGTTAAACATTATACCAATGTTTTAATTTTATTTGATTTTTATTTCATCATGTATTTTTTTTTTTTTTTAATTTTATTTGATTTTTGTGTTTTGTACTGTTATATGGTATATAGAAAAAGCTTGGCTATTACTTGGATTGATTGTTTTAAGTGTGCGTATTAACAGCCAAAGTTTTACATGTTTATTTATTTATTTTGATAGAGGCACCTAACATGGCACTCAGAAAATAAATATCTAAATTAAGTCTTGTCTTAGATGAATATTATGACAACAAGGTTGGTGAAAAGGGGCATGCATTAAGATAAAAGTTTTAGATTTTTGTAAGAGATGAAAAGGTTTTGATTTTGCATATTTAGTGTATCCAAAAGAATGAAAAGTGTACTTTAATTTAGTTCATACAAAATGTATCAATTTCTTGAAAGACTAAGTGGAAGCAGAAGGATTAATGATAATAACAATATTATAAAATTGTGTAAATGCTCATAGTTTTATGAGAGTCCAGTAGAATTTATCTCAAAAATTGGCGAAATGGATATTTTAGTATTATAAATGGCACTTTCTGTAATGGGGCAACACATTCAATTGGCATTCATAAAGCCATATAACTACATATTACCATCTTACTTTGCTAAATTGAGGGACATTTGACTTCTTAAAACTGTTAATTACCCAAATCAGTTGCAACAATTGTTACTATATGGGAGGACTACTTAAAAGTTTACAAAGTGTAGAACTTAGTTTATTGTTTGTGAAGCAATGTTTATTCAGCTCATGTACCAGCATCAGCTACACCATGAAAATGAGATATGGAAACCCAGAAACAAGGGAGCTTCATATAAACATTTGTAAATTTGACTGGGAACCTCTCTACATATAGAAATGTATGTGCTGAAACACAAAATCAATTAGTTTAATGGTTATGTTGAATATGAGTGGACCATGCAGGACATTGTTAGATGTTAATGTTAATGCTGTAATATTCATAATTACGTGTGGTAGTTAGGTAGATCTTGAAATTGCACCAAAAGTGACCCAAGCATCGGTGCCACAGCTTATAAACAAGTGAAAAAGCAATTTCATAGAATTCAAGCTTCTTTAAATGTGTTCAGCAATTTGTTACAAAATATAGATGCTTGCATGGCATTAATTTATTTGTAATTATAGGTGGTATAGTTCCCCTCCAAAATAGCACTTGTTTGGCTTGGGATAGAACCATATGAATGCACTTTTTTGTGTCGGATACTGAATGTTATTTTGTGAAGAGTAATTGCCTGTCAGAATTTTGGACCCCCTCCTACTCTTCTCCACCCTTACATCAAATTGGCGTCACATAAGATTATTTGCAGATGTTTTAGCAACCAGATATCAACATTTTTTACTTCTATATTAATCTCTAATGGTATCAAACATTAGTTTTTTTCTTCTTCTTTTATGCTGATGACTTCAAATACATTAATAAAAGAACTATAGATTTTCTTATTATTTAAAATGTTTAATTTTTTAATCACTGTTGTATTTTGTATCATTTTTGTAGGTCAATTTACAGTATTCATATACAAGATACATGTAATTACCACACTTCTAAACAATTACCACTTATTATATTTTAGATCCAGAGAATCCAGGAGTATCATAGAGTACAGAGACTTGGATGCCCCTGATGATGTTGACATCTTTTAGTTGAATAGACTATAGGTGGCAGCAGCAGACCGAGTATTGAATTTGGAGACCAAGAAAAGCCGAAAGTTAATACTTCTATGTCTTCTCAGGCACAGAAAAAAACTGGAGTATTACAGTTTGTAGTATGTGAGAGCTTTGATGATTTTGAGGTTGTTGTTGTTGTACTAGGAAGTTGAACTAAACTTTCGAAAGGAGGATTAGAGTGGATGGAACTCTTCATTTTCTTGGATTTTAAGAGTACATCAGTAGAAATACAAACAAGAAGTCAAGTAGTCACTTAAATGTTATATTTTTTGTATGTAAGAAGTGAATATTAAGGGGGTTTATTATGACCCTAGTGCATGCTCTCCCCCCCCTCCCAAATTCCCAGTTTACCTTGATCAGTTTTGCCGTCTTCAGTGTGATTAACAGGAGATATTTTTAACTTTTTTAAAAGGATTTTTACTTTCATTTGTTAGAAGAATAGTCAGTTATTTGCATGATTTTGTTGAAAATGTGTAAAAACTCTGTTTCAGTAAAGGCTGTCAGAAAGGTGGTCTGGTCTGTTTTCATTTGGGACACTTTCCCTGGAGAACTTTACCCTGAAGATTGGTGTATACTTTAAGGCCTAAATTCTAGTCCATGTTGAGTGAATATATATATCAGTTATTTTCCAATTTAGTGAAATATTGCACCTGTTTTATTACAAAAAAAAAGTTTAGGACCAGTGCCAACTTTATTTAACAGGATTCCTATGAATTTTTATAATCAAAATCTTGTCTGAAAGTACCAATTTTCAGGTTTAAGTTTTTTAAGGATGACAGTGGCCTCTCCAATCCAAATAAATTTACACCTTTTTTATTTTGTCTGTCATAAAGGTAAATGTGTATATATGTAAACTTGTTGGTATCCAAAGTGGGGAATTGTACCTCTGTGGGTAATAATAGTAGATAATTAAAAAAAATGAAAGGATTATTTTGTATATCAGGGATAATTTTCTGCTATCTTTGTGTATAAAACAAAGTTTAATAGATTTCTCTTAAGACAGTGTTGTTGATAATTCTGAATTCTTTTACATACTAGTGAATTAAATGAATACTGAAATAATGAATCTTAATAGTGAAATTTATGTTTGAATTTTATGTATAGTCGCTTTATATTCCATTCATTGGCTAAGATTGGGAGGAAATTAGTGCAGGCAGTTAACAGTTGAATTATGTGTTATTATTGTGAATTAAATAGATTCTGTGAATGTTTATCTGGAATATATTTGATGATTCATACAGTTTAATTAGCAAAGATGTTTCCCTCTAGAATAATTGTTGCATAAGGTATGGTCACAGTTAAATGCACATTAATAACTTTTTCCTTCCCAATGACCAAGTTTCATTGAAAAGTTTGTATAATTATGACATTTCTAAAATTCGTTTTGTTACCTCTCAGCTGTTTTAATTATGTAGATATTTTTTTAACATTGCCGTATTGTCATTGTATGAACACAGAATAATAAACTTTAAAAAATTGGTAAACCATTTTTTTTGGTCAAATTTATATTTTTTACAAAGAGGAGACACAGTCTCTACTCTTTGTATTGTGTTCAGTATTTGCATATCAAAAAAAAAAAAAAAAAAAAAAAAACTGAAAGAGATAATTAAGACCACCAAGGAATTCCTGGCATTTTGGAAGGAAATGCTGACATTGGGTATTTTTGAGTTTTTGTCTTAAAAGATCCGCGTTAGGAAGCAATAGCCTTGCAGGGCATTCAGACAAATAACTGATTTAATACAAAGAGAAATTTCTATAGAAAATCTATCACAGAAATCAAGAAACTTAGACGAAAGAAAGAGTATTATTACTAAATGCTCTTGTTTTAAAAGGCATAAATGAAACCGCCATTAAATATAATACTCGATTCAAAATATTTCCCATGATATTGCAAAATATAATTACCGTGAAAATATTAAATTAGATTGCCTTACAATTACCTAATAAAATATGGAATTTGAGCACCAAAAGTCACTGGCATGAACACTATATTTTTTGATAAAATTACTTTTCACTTAAAAGAAGTTTCAGAGCTGTGATCAGCGTACATTTTAGTCTTTTTCCCCATGTCTTCATTTTCGTATAGTTTCTCGGATGTACTGAAGATGTCGACACCGTCGTCGTTGGCGCCATATTTGACGTAAGGCGTGCTAGGACTGGGACGTATGACTTCTGAGACTTGAAACCAGTGCGGACGGAACTTGATCAACAGGATATTTGCAATCACTACTAGAAGCATAAATCCCAGCCACTGAAATACAAGATAAATACACTCGTAAAAACTGCCATAATGACTAAATAAAAGTCATAAACAAAAAGGGCAGACTAATAATTAGGCCCTATACATGCTTGGAACGTGAAAAGGCCTAAGAGTGTGTGTGCGCGCGCATGCCTGTGTAAGATGATTACAAAATAATTACACCTGCTAAAAGGCTTTAAAATCTTCAACTGATTAACAGTTTGATGAATTAATTAATTTATTAAATGGACCTTTTTGAATTCGAAAATGGTTTAGACGTTTGGGACTCCTCTCAGCGTCACTCCAGTTGGAAACAAGCGTAAATGACAAGGGTTTCTGCGTCACCAGTGACGTCACTACATGGACGTATTTTCCATATACGAAAAGGGCATAAAATGGACGTTGCCGCAGCGTATACGTACCTGTACTATCGTGAGCATAAAACTCTCCGCGCCAAACTCGTACCAACGCTGATCTTTCTCTTCTTCAAACACGATGAGGTCAATGGCCCACCATACCAGAAGCACCACGGCCTCCAGTGGCGCTATAAACCTGCGATTGAAGAAAATTGGTTTCAAGACATATCATATGCGCGTCTGGCCTTTATTAAGCAATATATATATATATATATATATATATATATATATATATATATATATATATATAAGTAATTTTAAAAACTGGTTTCAACAAATTTACATGCATTACCAGAGGTGCTATAAACCTGATATTGAAGAAAATTGACATACAAGACATAGGCCTACCATGCACCTCGGGCCTTTATTAAGCTAATAGAAAAATTCTGGAAGATTTCAACAAATTTACATGCATCACCAAAGTATACCCAATTCAAACCGTCCAGAAAACTACGATCTGTAAACTCGATGTCGAGTTCTCAATGCATAATTTTTACCGCCACGAATAAAAGTCGCCTACAGCGATGAAAGGAAAAGAGATGAAATTGCAAGGAAAATGATATTCCTTTTTGTTTTTGCTTTATAAAGGTCTAACCCTTTTGTGTTTCCATCCTACATCTACGACCCTGTACACACATATATATTGTTTTTTATGAAAATGCATTGTAAATATATCACCTACTTGACTATCCAATGCCACAACTTCGGCAGATACCAGTCGTCTAGTGAAAAATTATTGAACACAGTTTGGCGATATGTATTGGCTCCGTAAAAAATAACAAGGCCCTGTAACATCAGACCGTTGATGAGCAGTGCGAACCCCCAGACGAAATCCTGAAATAAAAGTGTTCAAAGGGTTATGTCTGGAGTATGTTGACGCCGTGAAAAGCTTGATTCGTTATCCATAATGAACAAGTTAATAGTTGTGATACTGATAAAAATGATGTGTTTAAATGAGAAAAATGCGTATAAAATGTGAAGCAATCAAGACAATATTAAATGCAAAAAGATAGGAGGCTTTGATTTTTTTTTTTTTTTTTTTTTTTTTTGCTGTGTTAGTCAGAAATTATCCAAATTAGTCCATTATTATCCATTTAAAGTGCCAAAGATCATAAAATAATACTATTTGAACTGTCGTCACACAACTGACATATGGGCACACCTCACTTAATAAGCCTACTGAGATAAAACGACGAAATTCTTAAGAACCTCTCACTTGCCTGGTTTGATAGAAAATCAAGACTAAAAGCCGACGGAAGCCCGATAAGAAATACCAACAATAGAGATATGGGACTGCCGAATTTCCTCTTAACTGAAGGTAGTAAGATGAGAAAACGGTTAGTGCAACATCTAAATAACTTAAAACTAAATTAAAATTTTAGAATATTACTTAAATAATGTGGTTACTGAAAAATCAGTGAGATGCGATATAAACACAACTTCCTGAGGTAATTAATGGAAAAAATCATGAACTGTTTTAGACAAGTTGTTTTTTTTTAAAACAACAATGAAATGTTTTCATGGCGATCTCAAAAATAATACGGTAAAATGTTTTGCCATACACATGTCTAAGACAGTCTTTAACGTACGTCCAAAGTCCTCCATGGTTTGCGCAAGAAGTTCAACGTTGGATATTAAAGACGACAATCCGGCAAATGACAGGCACAAAAAGAAGAGAACGCAAAGCACGCGCCCAAACTCGTCCCCCGCAGCCTGGAACAACACCGGAACCCTAGGAAATCAAGAATCAGAATGGAATTATGGTGACATTGGGTTTTTCATGTTTTTTTTTCTTTTGCTTAAAGTCGACAAAAAGGAAGTCACTTTCAATGAAACGATTTTTTTTCATGTACGTGATGTTTCAATCCTTCATCAAATAAAGTTGATGTTTTATATGTAAAATAGGTAAAAAACGTCTAGTTTCTATTCGCCAGATTGGAAATACCCATCTTTATATATCACTGTAAAAACGATGCAAAGCTTTTTTTATTTTATTTTATTTATTTATTTATTTTTTTTTGGTATTCTTAGTGATTTGAATTTCAATTTAAAATCAATCATTTACTTCATCTTATAGTAAAGGCAATAAAAGTGCTGTATTGCAGAAGTATCAGATACTGTGAACGGTTCTGTACACGGCATATCGTTTTTAAATGAAAATTTGAAATTTCCTTGAAAATTATTTTGCTACATGAATGTTGATAGCTCCTTTTTCGCTTTAAAGTAGATACCAAATAAAAGTGACTCCCGTGCTTCCTGGCCCACTGTCTTTTAATATGTTGACGACATCTTCTTGGGTGATTGTTGGCTGAAGTGCAACTAGGGACGAGAAGGCAGTGGATATGATTGTCATCCCGCAGATGAGACTGAAATTACAAGCCATTGGTTTGTGAAGATGCAAATAAAATGAGGTCTAAAACGTCCATATTGAGCATGAAAATAAAAAATATATATATTATAATAATAATAATATGAAAAAAATAGTAATAATAATTAGATATTTTGACATTTTTACAAAGCAGTAACATTTACAGTTTCCCCCCGTTTGTCAAGATTTGTTATTCTTAAATCTGCATCCCAAATAACTGAATTATTAAAAAAATCCGAGGCCAAACCTCTCAGAACGTCACAGACCTGACCATGTTATTGGTGGCTGGTATCAGGGTCCCATATCTAACGATCCCGTGATTGGAGGTCATATAGGCGGCATACGGGATGATAAGACCCATCCCAGCACCCGTGTCAAACGCATTTTGACTGACAGCGTCTACCCAAAGACGTGGGTCTCCGAATGATTCTAAACAGAGGGATACATTAAATGAATATTTTGTTCTCTATATATTTTGTTTATTATATTTTCATGTCATGTTCATTATATGTCTCTCATCTATGATTGGGTAATTCAAAACGTAATTTGGAATGTTTGTTTTACAGATCTATTGCCTTTGGCCCATCGCCTTCGGGCACCAGATCTTGGGTCATATATTCACTCGGGACAAACAGTGTAACATATGACGTGACTTCGGTCAATATTTCAACAGAGTGCACACTAAAGAAGCAAGTAAACGGTTAAACCTTGCGATGAAAATTTGGTTCTTCAAGTTTTACTAGACAAGTTTATACAATGATTTTGTGATATTTTTAGAAAATGCCTTTAAATCAATAATAATAATAATAATAATAATAATAAACTTACCCCAACTTGGCGTGAACATATAGGTCAGCCCAATATTAGACCATTTCCTTGTGAGTGACCAGATAAATGTGAATATGACAATGACCAGAAGCGTGGGTACCATGACCATGCAGGCCCTCTCTATGGTTTTAACACCTTTGTATGTAGCCACACCCGCACATAAAATGGCCGCTGCGTGGAAAAGTATCGGCCAACTGCTATGCTGGAAAGTATTTATAAAATTAATGATGGTTTATTCTAAAATAGCAACCAAGAGGGTTAAGTATTGCGTTTGTAATATAGAAAGCTAAGGATATAAAAAAAACTTACAGAAAACGGGTTAAAATGAACATACTATATATAAAAAAAATAACAAACATTTTTCAATTTATTCTGAAATAGTAACCAAGAGAGTGAAGTTCCGAGTTCATAATACAAAGGACATGGGATATCAAAATACTTGAAGAAAACTGGTAAATATATCCGTTAAAAATGCTACCGATCATATAATTATAAAGTCAGTGTGGAAAATAAGACGTATTTAAACGTTCGCTTTTTACTTTAGGTGAAACAACTTTCTGTATTATCGTTCATAAGAGCCCACAGAAAACCAAAAGGTTGAAAAGTTTTTGGCAATGACTGGTCTATCAAATCATCTTCCTCCGGGGATACGGTAAATAACTTCGATTTTAGCTTTGTTGTTTTGAAGAAATCATTATCGTAACTTTCATCCCGAAATTTTATCCAATGTGAAAAAAATGATATCGTAGTAACAGGCTATATCTGAGAGAAGGGCATAATACATGACAAGGAATGTTGCAAATTCAAACGTGATAAACTGTAAAAGCAAAATATAAAGATAAGTTGATACCCTTTTTTCATCTTACAATTACAGCATATCTAAGGAAGATATAATTTGCAGGAGGACACTCACCACCACAAAATCGTCAAATATTTTCTTTCCTTCTTCGTTGTTTTCAGGAAGAGGGTTGCCGATAGCAAACCCGAAATAATAAAAGCACCATCCAACGACCACTGAATAATAGCAACTGTAAGCAAAAACTAAGGTCAATTCGTGCAAATTAAGCATAAAACGTCCTGATATTACCAGCGTATATGAAATACAGCAGGTATCATCAAATGCGTATTGCAAAATAAGTAAAAGACAAAAAGAGATGTATACACAGATATACGCTATTCACCTTCAAAATCAACTAACACATGCTGTTATGCATTAAGACCACATATGCTATTACATATTACAGAAGCAACATGATAATGGTGATTTGAGTAGATTCAACGAAACTAAAGTAAAAGCCATTGAAACATATCGGTTCATAAAACACAAAATCACATTGATATTCAGTTGGACCCCCTCCCCCCCTCCAAAAAAAAAAAATAATAATAAAAAATAAAAAAAACGATTACTTTCTCGTGCCTTAACTGTTTCATGCTTTAAACCTTGTATAAAATGCTCACGTACGAAATGAAGAATGAAACCAAGGTAACCCACGCGCCAGCCCACGTGGCCTTGTCGCCATGGAAATGTCTAAATGCCTGGATGGTGGCTTTTCGCGTGTAACGTCCGATGGAATACTCGGTAAGTAACATAGGAATGGACCAGAAGAAGAGGAAGAAAAGCCATACTATCAGAAATACCAGACCACCTGGAAATATAGAAATCAGATCATTTGTATTCGTATTTAGAGAATAAAAATGATTAATGATTTCTCACTTAACTTGCGACTTTGGTGCACTGTGACTATATGTTTATGCTTCCTTAGCTATTTCATTTTTTTCAAGATGATATTGGTATTATATGAATATTCAAAGCAAAGCAATATAGAGATAAAAGATAGAAACGCCAGAAATAAGGAAACGAGGGGAAGGAGGAGAAGAAAGAAAAGAAAGAAGGAAAGGACAAAAGAATTGACCGGAGGGAAGAAGAAATGGAAGGAAAGATGGAATTAGAAAAGAGAGAGAGGTTAAGAAAGAATGAATGAATGAATGGCATTAATGAAAGAGAGGTAAGTTGTTTTACCTTTTGTGTCACTATTGGTGGCGAGAATCCTGGGAAACCTCCATATATTTCCTGTGCCTACCACAGTTCCGAGACAGGCAAATATCACCCCGAGTTTATATTTGTATGTCGATTTTACCACCGTATTTTTCTGAAATTCACAATAATAAAAATGCAGTCATATTATTATTATTATTATTATTATTATTATTATTATTATTTGTGTGTAGAAAGTAGTCATAAAATTTAATCTAATATAACTTCGGCAAACGCTTTTTTCCTATATTGATTTCCTTTTATTATGTTTTTAATTTTGTAATGGATATCGCCTAACCCCATACATAATATATACCCAATATCGCCACTGAGTCATATTATATCATATCTAAATTTGATAGAACTTTTAATATATAATCGATTTGAGGATAAATCACAAACAATACAGGGGTTTACAGGTAATAAAAAAAGTTAGTCAGTGCATACTTTTGAAAGATAAATCATCAACTAAATGTGATCGAATTATCAGCAGTCATGTGATCAAAACACTGGGATACAAATAAAGTACTGTTTAATAGGTAACAGATGAATAGCTAAATAAATATAAGCAATAGACCAATATGTGTGAGCTGATACCCTAGATCTACGACCCAGGAAAGTTGTTTAATGGGCCTCAGCCTATAGATAAACTGCATTAATGACTCGGTGGTCAGATGGGCTCTCAGTAGCGTCGTCAGGCTCAGGTCAAAGAAAAAAATAAGTTCCAAAACGCTACAGGCGCACCGTAGGTACCCCCCCCCCCCCCCAGTATAGCAGTCCCTAGATACGGCACCTACCTTCCGATGTTCTTTTTCAGCCAGACAAAAAATGGGTTACATTCTGCCTAGCATATCCAGGAATATGGCCTATCCAGAAAGGGGGAGGGGCGAGAATTAAAAAATTTATGCCTCGTTTGGTAAAAAATAGTAGACGCGGGCAATTTTACTGTAATGTGTATGGGAGTGGCACATTGCTTGGTTTTGTCGTGTTTGGTTGATTGTGAGGCAGAGATACTGTAGGTCGTAGCCGAGGGGGGGAAAGGGGGAAGGATGTATCACCGAAGCTTATGGATTCACCATAATAGTGCCGAAAGCGCATCCCTCTTGAAATGTCTCTAGGCCTAGGACTTAAAGCTTAAAGTAATATTTCATAATCCAAAGTTCTACACAGTTCATTTATCCACTTTAAGCACAAAAATAAAATAATAAAAACCATTTTTAAAAATTATTAGATTGTGAGAACAAAATATAAGGGCTTAAAAACACTGAGCAATACTTTTGTGAATTATAAATTTAGATTAAGCATTTTGGTTCATATTTTCCGTGTGCCCGCTTCCCCACAACAATTGTCCTAAAACCCCCTGTGCCCCCTCGATCCCCCCTCCCCCTCCCCCCCCCCAAGTCAAACTTTGGATCTGTCAGTGCTTTCGATAAAGTAAACATACATGACGCTGCGTTTGTTAATGATTATATAGAACCTCTTTGGTCCTAGTGAATAGCCAGCACCGTAGGTATAATAAATCTTACAATTTATTATGACAATATTCATAACAGCAGCATACTTCGACTATATCATCTCATATAGCTCCACGGTTTTTGATCACTACCTTACAACTATGGTGACAAGTATTCAGTTCACTCACCTCCTTAGCCAGGAGCTTTTCCTCGTCAGTCTCCATTTTGATCTTAGTGTGTCATGTGACCCAGCATGTGATTTGTTTAGGTACGCTGTACAAATACACCCTAGCTACCTGTATCAATTTGTCACCTGTTGGTATTTGTCTTGATAAGATGCTGAACGGGTTAGAGAGAGAGGGGGTCTTTCTCCCGGCGGGGTGTCGTCAATCAAAGGTTCACTACGCGTTTTTATCTCTGATGTCCTACAAAGCTAGGCCTACTTCTCATTTTTTTATTCAGACCTTTAAAAAATCAAACCCATCAGCTAAAAGTACGTAATGCCAATATTTACCTCCGCCAAGGAGGTTATGTTTTTGGTTCCGTTAGTTTGTCTGTCTGTCTATCTGTCTCTCTGTCTGTTAGCAACATTACAAAAAAAGTTATGGGCCGATTTTGATGAAATTTTCAGGAACTGTCCAAAGTGGGCCAAGGAACAGATGATTAGTTTTTGGTGGTGATCAGGATCAGTAATCAATCAATAATCAATAATCAAAAATAATAAAAAAAACTAAATCATTATAGAATGAAAATTTAGGGGTGAAACGGCATTGGGTGGAGACTTTGCTGCCTTGGCGGAGGTCTGCGCTCTCGGGGTGCTTTTCTAGTTTCTTCTGAAATGTAAGGACGACTTGGCTGACTAAATGAAACATGATTCCTCTAGGACCAAGTTGGTTAATCAGGAATGGTACAAAATATCACATTCAAGTGCAGCGACAGGTCAAACAGCAGAAAATTGCCTTTTTTTATTTCTTGAAGGAAATTAAAAAGAAAAGGGTTAAACTGCTCGTTTTCGCACAGGAACCCATTTGATAGGTGTTGTCAAAGCGCTGCGCTGTGAACCGAATTCTTATGTTAAGGCAGTGATTTACCTACTTGTTATTTTCCAAGTATTATGCGAGTACAGTTTATTCATTAACAGTGTCTTCACTTGCAATTAATTAATATTGAATTGTGTACAATTGTTAACTGCAAATCACTCCATTCATTTATAGTCAACTACTAGTCAACAAAAATGGTCGATTTACAAAGTTCAATTAATTTCTGGACCTGTGGATACACTATGAAGCAGTAATTAACATCAAGAAACTACGAAAAATTGAATACAATTTCATTGTTGCATCACAAAAAGACTATCATGTCGCTTTTTCTTTAGGCAATGCACGCATGACACTCGATCACATAAAAAGCAAACAATAATATGTCGCATGAGTACTTTTAAGTTCACTATCAACATATAAAATATTTCACCATGATCTCTAAGATCACTGGAGGCATCGCAAACCATTTTTCTCCTTTCCCAGTAACAAATGGTCAAAGCAATGGCATATATACGGAAAAAAGTCTATGACATTAAACGAATTAATTTTAAAGGCGTTCCAATATAGGAACATCAGCCGCTAACAGGTAACAACTCCCAGTGGCGCATATTCAAGTGGCGCCAAGGCAGGCACACGTTACCGTGCTTCCCTACCGGCCTTTGCTACTCCACTGACTCTATGCCGTAATGTTATAGTAAGGATAATTCTGCACTCTTTCCGGAAAGAATTCTAAGAAGAGGTATTTCTTCTGCCTTGATGAGAACTGTGCATACTAGCGGTGTCCGCATTATTGTCAGCTTTCTGTTTCTCGGACATTGTCAAATGTTCCATTATAGTACATGAAAGCATGGCGTTTTCACAAGTAAGACTGTCCTCATTTCTGTGCCTATTTAGGCCGCCTCTTGAACCATTTACTATATCACATTTTGACTCATCATGAGGATCTTTAGCGCCATCTATCGTTTCAGAGGCGTTGCACTTTAGACCTAGTTCACCATTAGCGAGAAATTCCTCTTTCTGGGAAACGAACGTGCTCTCTGGAAGGAGACCACCATTCAGACAGACAGCACGTGCTGCAGATAGATCCTCCTTTGCTTCTGAACTACCCGTGGACCCATACGACACCACGTCCACGTCATCATCACCAAATGACGTCACTACCACGTCATCAGGGACTTCCTTGACGTCATTGGAACCATACGAGACTTGTGAAGCACTACTACAGCTGGATCTTGGTGTTGAGGTTATACTCGTCGACATGAACCAAGATGGTTTGTACTTGAGCAGTAGAACATTGAGTATTATTAGGACGACCAATGCGATCAGCCACTGAAATTTAAAGCAAAAGACTATAACGTAATATCTTATACACGGAACCGATAATGATAAGCAAATACTCTTAATGAATAAAGATAAGTATCAAATTGACATACATGAGAAAATTAATTTAATTGATTTATAACATTTATAAAACTTCTTGTTTACTAATAATGTATACATGTAGGTTATTTATATTTCTTATTTTCCAGTCGATTTTTGTGACCCACTTTCTGGTTCACATCACATCCAGAAAATTATTTCTATTTAGACTATCTTATAAGTAGGCTTTATTTTTCACCATCCCGTGAAGTCCACCACACCTGTACTATGGTCGCCATGAAGCTCTCTGTGCCGAATTCATACCACCTCTGGGCCTTGTCCTCCTCGAAGACTATCAGGTCCACTGCCCACCAGACCAGCAGAACCATGGCCTCTAACGGGGCGACGTACCTGAGAATTCACAACAACTTATTCAATGGTTCAGGGTAAAACGGCTGTTGTTAAGAAAAACCATTAGAAGTAAGTTAAATGCCAGTTGACTATATGGACGATTACACACGCACAGAGAGAGAGAGAGAGAGAGAGAGAGAGAGAGAGAGAATGTTAGGGCAACAACCTCGAATAGCTTGCGGTTTGCTGCTAATTTTTGTCCTCGTCCATGGTGGCCACTTTCTCGTGACATGACGAGAGCGGCGTATTAAATCTAGACCAGAAGATGGTGATGAAAAATGTGATACTTGTACGGTGTTCTAGACCAACTTAACATTATTTCATGTAGAAACACGTCTTACCTCCCACCACCCTGTTTTTCAGAGGTTAATAGAAACGAAAGAAGCATGACTATAATAAATGCCAGGTAGCAGAAACCTTTGAAATTCAGGATGAGTACTTATGGAAATAATACTAAAATATTGTCATAACTAGCCATCTCTATGCACTGTTGTTCTCCACTCCCAAACCTGCGTACTTACATAACGATCCACTGCCATATTTTAGGCAGGTACCAGTCGTCAATGGAGAAGTTATTAAAGATGTTCTGGCGGTATCTGTTCGCGCCATACATGATAACGAGGCTCTGGAACATCAACCCGTTGATCACCAAGGCAAAACCCCAAACAAAGTCCTGAAATAATAAAATATCGAAAAAAAGCAAATATTTAAGTCTTTTTATTAACGTTATCAATGATTGAATTATGACTTCTGTTTTTTACTAAATTCATGCACTGCTAGTTACACTTCTTGGTACGTGTGTTACACAATTCCCACTATTAAAAATAGAATCTAATTCTGGACATGGAACTTCATTCATCAATACATCAATACATCGATACTATGAGCGTATGGGAAACCAATCAGAAATGTTTTTTGTAAGTCTATAGGAATATCGTGCTGACATGATTGGACATATAGCCAGATTAAAAGCCAGTTAGAAATATTGATACAATAGTAAAAGGGACCTCTTACTTGATTGGACAATAAATCAAGATCATTAACTAGTCAGAAATGTTGATACAAAAATCATAGGAACCTCTCACCTGATTGGACAATATATCCAGACTAAGAGCAGACGGTAAACCAATCAGAAACGTCATTCCTAATGTTAGGGGTACCCCGTACAGCCTTCTTACTGGAATGTGATAAGGATGGAAATATAGAAAATATAAATGTATATAATACGGAAAGTAGAAAAATATTTAGAAATGTGAAAATATGACGAAAGTGAAATATGACAGAAAGTTTGAACGGCATTGATTTAGTAAAAAAAAAAAAAAAAGTTTTACACATAACTCGAGAAAAGACAGAATGCAAAGATTGATGTGAGAAAAAATACGTATTGTTAAACTATAAAAATGTGAAACAATACCTCCGAAATCTTCAATAGTCTGTGTTGTTAGTTCAACGTTACAAATTAGCGTGGACATTCCAGCAAATGAAAGACACAGAAAGAAGAGCACACATAAAACACGGCCAAACTCTAGCCCCGCTGCCCGGAACAACACTGGAAACCTGTAAGGACAATAACGTGGTCAGGAGTCTCTCCGATGAAAACTCACTCTTTAAGTCAAGCCGTTTAAACAGTGTAAGGCATATTGGAACTCGAATGGTACATTGATCGTAATTTTCTCAGCAGTTAGGAAAGAATATGGTGATAAAGAAGAATTTTCTGAAGTTCCCATGTATATATATATATAGGTTCATCGCTCATTTTATGCCTTAATATTTTATGCGTTAATATTCATCATTCTTATTCTACTGGTTGACTGTCACTACCAACATTCACATATACAGTAAGAGTTACTAAAAACTGAGGATGTACGTTAAAAACAGCAAAGAGCTCGAGTTTCCAGTTATTTTTCGAAATCTAGGCTGGCCTCATTGCTCCTCGCTCACCATATAAACGTTAACCCCGTGCTTCCTGGGCCGCTGTCCTTCAGTATACTGACAATCTGGTCCGTGGTGTAGGTCGGAGATAGCGCAATCAGCGAGGAGAACACCGTGGATATCACTGTCATCCCACAGATCAAACTGGAACCGCCAGTACAGCATTTAATACATGAAAAATACTGCATTTAATATACTTGTGATAACAGTTATGATACGTCATTCCGCATGCTAAACTGTAACCGTAATACAACAGCAACATTAAATCATTTAATTTATATGTTGGTAATTTCGTTTACCATTGTGGGAAGGAGTAAAATTGACCACAGGAATAATAATGTTTATGCTGCCTATCAGACTGAAACCGCATTTTAATTCCAGCATTTAGCATATCTGGTATCTTGGTACCTCGTTTACTACTGTAAAGAAGGAAGACGTCAATTCGACCAGAGGAATAAGAAGAATAACAAGAATTGTACGCCATGCCTTAAAAGTAACAAAACAAGCCTTTCCTCTTCAAAAACGGTTTACTTTTGATATAGAATTTTTTTTCTACCTAATCATGTTGTTTGTAGAGGGTAACAAGGTACCATAGCGGACTATTCCGTGTTTTCTTGTCATATAGGTGGCGTACGGGACCATCATACCCATTCCTGCCCCTGTGTCAAAGGCGTTCTGGCTAGCTGCGTCCACCCAAGTTCTAGGATTCGCAAACGATGCTTTAATAAAAATAAAGAAAGAAAGAAAGAAAGAATAAGGGGGTGAATTAATGACTGAATATATACACAGGTACAGACAAAGTATTGCATTCTGTAAAGATTTTTTAAATGCTATAATCCTTTAACGGGTATTTTATTTTTTAATCTTAACCTTACACAATTGACCCGATAAATTCTACAATGAAATGTTGGTACCCCGGTAATAATATAATATAATGTAATATAATAATAATAATCTTCTTATATGGCGCCTTACGTGCTACCTCAAGGCGCCAATAATGAATAATGAATAATATAACTAAAATCATTAAAATCTACAATATTAAAATCTAAAACACTTGGAAACCATTTAAAATTAACACTACTAAAAACATTAATAAAATATATAAAAAAAACCTAAGAGATATAGACAGACTTAAAATGCGAGTTTTAAGAAAGGATTTAAAACTGTCAAAGTCGTCTGCTTTTCTAATAAAATCTGAGAAAGTGTAGTGCCCGTGTAGTGACAACAAAAATATCACAAGTTTGTAAGTAGTTCATACATATGCTTTCAAATTTTGCCACATACCCCAATTTGGAGAATACATGTACTTCAGCCCGATGTCTGCGAAAGGTCTCGTGAGAGTCCACGTGAACGTGAACAGGATTATGGCGAGAAAAGACGGGACCATGACGAGATTTGCTCTCTCTATCGTCTTCACCCCCTTCGTCACCACCAGTCCGGCTAAAGCAACAGAGAGAGCGTGGAACAGGACAGGCCAGCGACTGTTCTACAATTGAAAAAGACGAAACCCTATTGTAATGAATATCGATGACATTTAATTAAAAAAGAAAAAAAAAACATTCGCACAAGATGTGCATTGTTATTGAATTAAGTATCATGTCCCCAACCATTTCAACATTAATTTGAATTTTAATTTGTATGATTATATACTGATTGACATCATGTTTGATATGGTTGCAACGTCGAGAATAGACATTTTTCTTTCATTATTCTTTAAAGCTATAGCCCACGGCTTATTTTAAAAGAGTAGCTACAATTGTTTCGCCACAAATTGATAGAAATCCAGAGTGAATTTCAAAAACTCCGAGTATAAATATTTATTTGGATTTAAAAAAAAATACTCTATAAAGCAACAAAATGCCCAAATGCATACGTGTACAACACCAATGTCTTACTACGGCAAAGTCATCAAATATCTTCTTGCTTTGCACGTTGTCGGTCGGCAGATCATTCAAGATGGCGTATCCGAAGAAGTATATACACCAACCTAATATCACAGAGTAGTAACAGCTGGAAGAATAAAAACAAAATGATCACTCCTCAGAAAAGTGACCCTCTTAAGGGACATTCAGATTTGATGATCCCAGTACTAACTGATCTGCCGACTAAATATGGCCGACCACACTTCAAAAGCGATGCCGCTGATTCCCGATGGTCTCCCCGCCTCCACACGCGCCATTAAACGGATTAAATCTCAGCTCCGAGGTTTAACTGCTAGGCCACTGCAGCGATCGGCGAGTGTGGAGGCGGGCAGACCATCATGGAATTAGCGGCATCGTTTATGACGTGGAGTCGACCATGTTTATTTGGCGGATCAGTTAGTACTGGGATCACCTATTCTGAATGGCCCCTTAGTCAGGTCAGTGGTACACACATTGTGTGTCATAACTGCATAACTCTTTTATATCACCTTTTAATTACTGTTGATTTATTTCTATATTGGAGCCCGGTATAATAGCATAATGAAGAGAATATAATGGGCCAAAACGTTAATTTTTTTAGAATTACCTGAAACAGTACAAGTTTGGGAGTACCTTTAGCGCTGATGGGTCTGGGAGATTGCTTAGAGGGTTGGAGGGGGATTACTAGGATAAAATTTTGTCGAGTGAAACGAAGCAAATATAAAACTAAAAACGAGAAAAACTTTACTCTAATATGTAGGATACAGGAATAAAAGACATCGCTTGATTTTTGCTTGTTCTGCTTTATAGAGAGCGGGATAGGGTTGAAAGGGGTCCACTGAATGAGGGGGGGAGTAATGGCAAATTATGCCTCTCGATAAAAAGCAAGATATTGAAATAAGCGAGGTGTCTGGAATTTCTTAATAATTACCGTACTTACGATATAAAGAACGTCACCAAGGTAACAAAAGCCCCGCACCACGTGGCCTTGTCCCCCACGAAGTCTCTGAAAGACTGAAGAACCGCCTTCTTCGTGTATCGCCCTATGGAGTACTCCAGCAGTAACATTGGAGAGGACCACATGAACAAAAAACACACCCACACGATGAGGAACACTAGACCACCTATAAGGGAAGAATTTCTGTTGTCAATCACGACAAACCTGTGAGATTTGGAACTCATTCACACACACACACACACACACACATCACACACACACGCAAAGGGAGCGGGGATACAGTGATAACAGAACAAGAGAGAGAGTGCTCGTGTATATGTGTGAGTGTGGGAAGGAAAGATAGGGAGGGAAAAGAAAAAAAGAAAGAGAGGGTTTATTCATTCAACAATTTTATAATATGCAAAATAACGTGTAAGGAGTTCCCATACATCATGCCTTATAAAAACACCCACACTGATGTCACACATGTCTTATTATTCCCTATAGAGAAAATAATCCAAAACAAAAAATGAAATAAGGATTTTAATCCATTTCAGTCTCACCTGTTTCATCACTGTTCTGTGCAAGTATCCTCGGAAACCTCCACAGGTTGCCTGTTCCTACAATGGTACCCATACAGCTGAAGATCACTCCCAGCTGGTACTTGTAGGTGGCTTTCCCGCCGCCAGTGCTTTCCTGGGAAAAACATTCTCTTTTTTAATGATGCATTTATCGAAATAGTAGACTATGTAAAAAGATGGGTTAAATGAGCGGCAATGGTATGCGGATTGAATTAAGCTGAAAATGTTCAACAAATTTACACACACACACACACACACACAGAGAGAGAGAGAGAGAGAGAGAGAGAGAGAACTTAGATTATTTTAAAAGGAACTGAAATTGATCACTCAAAAGAGGTAGAGGCAGTTGACGGACAGACAAGGTAAGCACTTCTGTATATAGCTCATCCACACAGACAAACAGACACTTCAAGGCACACTGACATACATGTACACCAGGAACAGTGAGAAATACTTCACCCGACGCCCCTCCTTTTGTGGACCGTTTTCTAGCATTTATATGTAGAACTACCCTCTACCAGGGCGACAGATTGATTTTTCACAATATATTCACACATATGTCTTTAGATAAATAGACAGTCATTTCATTCTGTGCTATTTTGGCTTTATGAAAGTTTCCCTATAATATCTGCCGCCCTGGTAGGGGTAATGTACAACTAGGTCATATCAGGTAAGATTGCAGCAGTTTGCTCTTCCCTGGACATTTGAACACACTGTAGATAATCCCCACTGAGACCTGTACTGTTTATATCAAGTCCTGGCCTGATTGATCCCAATAAGGACATGGCCTTAGGGTACGGGTGCCAGTCCCTGGGTAACCACCTCACACCCTGAGTTTCAACGAATACTGGAAACAGGGAATGAGGCTGCGGGTGTTATGGTCACCTTTTTCCATTTTAGATGATGTCGGAAGAATATATTATTGTGAAAAATGTAAACTTCATTGTGAAAATAGTTTCACTGGATCTTAGTTTTGACTATTAAACTTCATTGGTTCTAAAATCAACATCAGAATTCGACACTGCCTCGATCGACACTGAGTATGAACGAATATGTATAGAAAGCTTGATCGAAGCATGAGGCCATTTCGTGGGGTATTTCGCGCCAATAACCCCCCCCCCCTTAAGATTTTGTATAATACTATTGGTGATTTTACTAATTAACATCTGTGAGGATGGTGGTCAAAGATGTATAAATGTAGAATAAAAGCTTGTCATAAAAATATGCCGATCTCATTTTTAAACAAAGACTCTGCTCGGTAGCGCTTAGGTTGTAAATGCCTCGTCTCCTTTCATGAGCATGCGCAGTGAAAGTATCCTTCATGAAGTTGCGAAACTATCAAAATATCAATTTTAAAATGACCATTAGTGAGTTTTGCCAAACTTGGTCCGTAAAATATATGTTACCTGTTCTATTAGACATTTTTCTTCTTCACATTCCATGTCGAAATTTCCTTCCTCATTTCCTCCGGGTTTCTCCATTATAAAAGTTTATAGGTTCTATGAGGACGGGTCGGCCACTGATAACGGTTTTACACGCGTGTATACAGTGAGTGGAAAATCCCCAAGAGTGCCACGGAGCTATCTACAAGTGTCTTGATCGACTGCTATACGTTAATCTTTTACCCGCCTAATCAGTATATAGCTCAAGTATTACATACTAAGAATTTTTCTTCTCTGGTTTTTCTTGGTTCTGTCTCTCATTTTGTCGAATATGTGTAAGTCCAACAAAATTCATAAGCAGTGAACAATTTCATTAAACGAGATCAGTCTCTTTATAATATTGGTCTTTCAATGGAATGTTTTCTCTCTGAGGTTGGGATTGGTATAGTTTTGTTTGTCTATAAACGTTATCTGAGCGCTGTGTTGATGCTGTCGTGATGCACAACTAACATAATGAGCCACTGTCACAACTAACACAATCAGTACGTCCTCATCCCAATGTATCTTTAAACGTGTGTAATAGCTCATCTTCACGTTGAGGATGGTTTATTATCTTGTTTGAATTGTCATTTATGTGTCAACGTTTTCACCTCACCGTCACGCAACGTACCACAAAACATTATAAATCATGCTACAATACAAAGAAAATTGAGGAAAGAAAAACAAGAAGAACATCAACCTTAACAATGAGTAATAGAAAGCCGGAGTAGAAATATTGATAGATGTAGGGAGTAAGTAGTAAGGACAAAATAGAAATGAGAAAATGTTAAAATAAAACCTTGAGAATATGTTAAAAGAAAACCCAGTCAACAAGACTAAATTAGTCAGCGAGCGAAGCAAATATTTCCAGTAACGAGAGACCACACCGGAGTCATGCAACCGTTTTGTAGTTGAGTTTGTAAAACGTTGTTGCCATTTATCGTGTTCAGCATCTGCATTCTTTCCAGTTAAACGACTCTCAGTCGCGGTCCTATCTGATAAAATACAGGCCTAGTTACATAAAGAGGGTGAGGGGAGGTGACATTGGATTTCAATTAAAACTGAGAGTTGTTTTGGAATCAAAGGCTGTGTCTGGAATTTGAAGCAAGTTCTTTTTTGTTTTAGTAAGAAGGTTGACATTGAAAAAAACAAAAACAAGAAAAAACTACATTTGTTATGTTTACATCTTCTGTTTTGTTTATTTTCATTCCCTCTCCAATCCATCTCCGTCATGTCCCCTTTTTCTCCCCCTTTCTCTCTCTCTCTCTCCCCCTCTCTTCCTCTCCTCTCTCTCTCTCTCTCTCTCTCTCTTTCTCTTTCTTTCTCTCCATCTCTCCTTAAACAGCATTTTGTTATAATTGAAAATCACCTTCATATTTCTCCCCGTAATCGCTATGCAAACCAAACACTCTCAGCACTTTATGCAGACGTCCATCGAAGAACATTCGTAAATCACCACTGAACAAACGTACAGAAAACCATCGCGGAAATCCTTAAATCCATTTAGAAAATCAAATTAACCCAAACCAAAATAGAAAAAAGTCTTTAAACAGCGTTATTTCATTACTAAAACAGGTCCTTTGCAATGTTGAAAACGCCTAATCAATCAAAACAAGCACTTGAACTGTTTATTTTTCATCTTATAAGCTAAGTTGTGGAAGTTCGGATATAAACACAAGTTCTCTACCCCGCGGTGTATGTAAACTTTAAAAAAGCCTGGTCAATTTCTCGGGGACTTTTTGCGGGAAAGTCCCGAAAGAAATTTTATAGTGTAGCAATCAGGAGTTTGACTTCATTATTTCTTTGTTTATTTCTGTTTTCATTTCTCTGCTAGTTTCTTTTAATCATTCCCATTTTATAATGGAATGTTTTGAAAGAAGCGACGAATCGTAATGCTAGACAGTTTTAACCCAACCTTTTTTTTCATGCGTCGAAAAAATTGTTTGAGTTAAAACGCCAGTCTCGTCTCTTGAGCAATATTTTTACACGAAGTCTTTCTCTTTCCATCTATATCATTATACGCCATCTTTTTCTTCCAATATGGCCTGACTTCCTTGTTATCTTGGGTGATTTCAAGTGCAAGGGAAACAAAAAAACTTAAGTGCAGTGAAAATATCAAGAGGATTCACCTAGCCTGAACCTGTGCCTGTTTTCTGTGATGTATCGCTGCCTCTCGAAGTTGTCCCCTTATCAAGATAACAGCCTCCCTCCCTCTTCCTCTCTCTCTTGCACGGGAGAGAAAGAAAAATGGAAATACTAGTAGGATCTAGAAATGTGTAATAGAAAATTATTGCTTTGATAAGCCCGAATGACGTCATTTAAAATATCACTTCAAGTCAAAGTAAGTCAATCTGAGCATCCGACACGACGCATCTGGTTCATTTCACGAGCTCTTAAACTTTACCATTAAGGACATTATGGGGACCGCTCAAATAATCAAAAAGCGTAATTCACTAATCTGAAATGTCGCTTTTGGTTTAGAGTGAAGTAGGAGGAGATCTAATCGGAATAAAATCCGGTTCCATTTACCTCAACTCTTACCCGTTCAGTGGGATGGGGATAACCCTCTACCAGAATGGAGAATAAGACCCCATTCCCACACCTACATCGATCTAGCAGGATCGATCCGTCTCCGAGGGGTTTCTTGCTAAATTGCACTCAGCTTAAGCGGCTTTGATGTCTGGCACACCTTCTGAAGCTGTTAAGGGGGTAATTAATTATCGTTTAGCAGCTTCAGTAGGCGTGCGAGACATTTAAGCCGTTTAAGCTGAATGTAATTTAGCGAGAATCCCCTCGGAGATGGGTTGATCTTGCTAGATCGATCTAGGTATGGGAATGGGGTCTAAGGTGAGTTTTCTATCTAGTTGGTACGGCTTAACTTATAACCACGGTTAGAAATCAGCGAGAAATGAATTTTGATACAGTGGTTGTTGATTACTGAATGTTAGGGCTCATTCCCAATGGAACTATCGTTCTACGAAGGTGAATCCAACTCTGCGGGGAATCTCACGGAATGCAAACAGATCAACAAATTAACACGCCTCCTCTTGTTTCCATCGGTCTCGCACAATCACCAGCTTCTCTGTATTCTACTCAACTCCAGGAAGAAGCGTGTTATCAGATTGCATTCAGCGAGATTCCCCACGGAGTTGGATCGATCTATGAAGAACGATTATTTCATTGGGAATGAGCCTATAGTTTGATTTTAATTTACCAGTGAAAAAACGTTTGTCCCTCTTCCATTAGATCCACACAGGTTAGGATTAGCGTGACGCAAATTAATCAAAATCTGAGACGAGGCTTGTCTGTAAAAATCACCCAGACCCTGTACCACGGAAGGGAGGGAGAGCTCACGTACATGACACAAGCTTTCCATTTTACCTAGGACCTATCAAACATGTTTGGTGGGTTCCAGATACTACACAAATGTCTAAATATAAACTAAATATGTTACAATTAGGGTTATTGACATTACACGTCAATTGACGCAACTCAGTTGCATGACCATTGTAAACTCGACTGCCGAAATGTACCAAAAAATAGATAAAAAATAATAAATAAATAAATATGTAAATATGAAAAAAAGATATGTAAGGATGTCGAACCTTTTTTTACAATTTTCTTTTTTCAGTTTTACACCACTCTGTTGAACAACCAGTATAAATCCGAAACTGGCACACACACACAGTCTGACGCGCACACACACACACACACACACACACACACACATGCACGCACACACACACATGCACACACACACATGCACGCACACACACAGACAAACACATACACTTGACTTATCTCTCAACAGAAACACACGTTTTCCCAGCTCAGGACACCTGGCTTCCCCCTATTATTACACCCTAATCACTTTCGGATGTTCTTTATCATCCCACAGAACAACACTTACACACCTGGCGAGATGAAACTTGTGGGGTGGGGGGGTGTCATGACATGACGAACCGCTATCTAATACTATTGTCATGAGTGAGAGGTAACACGGCTCGTTCACACTAGCCTTATTTGGATCGGGCTAAGTTTGATCCAGAAATACCTGTCCCGGAAGCTTATCTGTATGTAACGGTATGTGATTTCTGTGTTTTTGTTCATTTTTTAAAGCGTTTTCTCAATAAACAGATAAGGCAGTGGTCCATTTTCACATGGTAAACTTTTGTTTAAATCAGATGAGCCTAATACTAAGCAGGAGTCTGTTAGATTTCCAAATGCCAATGATGAAGTCAAAAATAAAATTATTCCAGTATCAATTTGATGCATTTTAACTCACGTTTTCTTTTATTTAAGAACGCTGGATATTGTTCATGAAAAGATGTTATAGACATCCATGCATTTTGGTAACATCATGTTAGCAATCCCATTATGATGGAAACTGACGGATTTTGTGTCACTATGATGAGACCGACTTCACTTTAGACCGAAGTGCAGTTAATTTTAACACAAGATCCATGGAATATTGAATTGAAATATCACTCCTGTTTTGTAATATAAAAGAAATTGGTAATGTAACAGACAGACCAATGGCTACTTTACTTCAGTGGATTAATAGTTGAATCGAAACAAGGAAATGAAAATCTTTGAAAGGAACTCCTTAGTTGAAGATGACAAAATTAGTCGGTTCCCTTTTTTATTTATTTATTTATTTATTTATTTATTTATTTATTTATTTATTTATTTATTTATTTATTTATTTGTGGCTAAAGATCTTTCGAGCTAATAGTGTGAACGTGCCCGGTTTCTTCTACAGATACATTCCAATGCATCACATCAAAGTACCGTTATCATGTGCTGCACGCATCGTTTCCAACAATAAATCTAAATTTCATCCAGCTCCACAGGTGTTTATTTTCCGGGATTATTTTTTTATTATTTTTTTTTCTCCAAAAGGAACACAGATGTCAACTACGCCGATAAATTTGCTTTTCATGTCGATCTATTTTGATCCGATAGGTATGAGAGACTCCACACATCGCGCGAATAAAGGACCCTGCGGGTTTTTGCTCATAAAAGTGAAAGGCAGGCGGAGAGAGCACTATTTATCGCCCACTCACCTGTAAACAACACGCCGAACACAACAACCCGGCAATTGTTTCGCTAAGCGGACGTCGCTCAAGGGGGAAACCCGCCTTACTCAATTAGGGCCAATTAATTTCATTGTTAGAAGTAAATATTGAGACGCCCCCTGGCCGCATATCGTCTCAATCTCGCATGCGCAGACGAATTAACATGAAGTACACGGAGAAAAGTGTGCTGGACGCTGAATGGTTACGGTTACTTCAAGTTTAATTTAACCCCAAATGAAGTCTGTGAGTTACTAATTTTAGGAGCTGATAGTGATTCACGGGGAAACCGGTAAGTCTTTTAACCGCTAATCGCCCTCCGTGAGGCGGGTCGAATATTTTACTTACTTAGGCGGTCTCCGCAAGTCGAGGAAGAGCCTTAAGTACGCGGAGAGATAGATAGATAGAGAGAGGGAGAGAAAAGACAGAGATATTCAGTGACGAACAGGGTGGTCTTGTTTGTTGCATAGCAACCAGTGTTATGGAGTGGCTATATTAGTATAACAAGTCATCTCGTTGAACACGACAAATAAACGGAGAGAAAGACAAGGAACGGATATTTTCACCTCTCGCCTTTCCCTCAACGACGACACTCACGACAACGGCATAATTAACGTGCGAGCAAAACTGAACGGGAACGTGCTGGGAGTTTTTGTAATGAGGTCTTCTCAACAAGGAACATGTGTTGAGCCAACGAGCACAAAATTACTCAAGTAGAGAAAGAGAGACAGCGAGCACTGAAATTGGGGTTTACAATCTCCAACACTAAACGTACGAGTTCGATAACGCCGGCTCTCTCTTTCTCTACCTGTCGATTCCACACTTCACTGTGTAATGAGGAATTATTGAATAGAGGCATTACACGAAGATAAACCCTCCCCGATTATAACACAAGGATTGCATCGGATTAATGGGCCTGAGCCGCGAAGCCCAGAACACACACACGTAGCGGGAGGGCCGACCAACACAAAGAAAGGTTATACTAATTTATAGCGTTGTCGCGGCGCGTTACATTTAGGAGCAGGGGCGACCCGTGTTTCGAAGTTCAGCTGCCGTTAAGTCCGAGGGGGAATATATTGACACAGCGTGGCTTAAAGGGGACCAGACAGAGGTCGGGGGACGAGAGAACCAGCGAAGAGGGAGAAAGACAGAGAGCGAGGGACTCAAGGATCACAGCGCACAGAGTTTCGCCGTGGATACGACGACAGGCGAATTGTAGAAGATAGATTGCCTGAGTTTTATCTGTATGTTCACTTATGAAAATCGAGGTGTGTGTTTTCAAAGAAAGTTAAATTGGCTATCCTTGTCCGAACAGTAGAAAGTGTTACGTTGTAGAGGACGCTGTTGTTGAAGAAAAGTTGCACGGCAAAGACAGACGAAGGAATTACAACGAGAAGAGACAGAGGGAGACTCGTCTTAACCTCTTCACACAGAACGCGATAAAACTTCGTTTGAGATCTACGTAAACTATTTCTCAGCGACGGCGTGTATTCAACGTGCGCCAAGAGAACGGTGATTCAACAAACGGACACCGCCGTAAAACAGGTACACATTAGGAGAGGGGCTTTGTATGCTGTAATATTCAGCAGCTTAAACGGCTCAACTGACCAGCGGCGTCCAGTGTATGTTTGTGGTGGACAAAGTTTACTCACACAGGAAGTACGTACGGGGATATTACAGGCTTAGGCTGTGATACCTGCAAAACACGTGCCATAGGGGTCCTACACGTAATACTCGTGCTGCGGAATTTCTACGGGTGATTATCCGCAGAGCGAAGGGAATTGTTGTGTATTTTATTCTACAAGTTTTATATCGATCTACACGTGTTGGAAGAAGTGAGTGGATTAGTTTGGTTTTCTACAGATTTTGTAACGATCTGCTTAGATATAGGATTTTTCGCGAAAGTCTGTGCCTTCTACACTTATCGGACGGAGAAGTTTTATTGCCTAATTATCTACGGAATTTATATCTACAGTTGTTAATTGAGGAGGATTTGTCGTCCTACTTGGCATAAATCGTACGAGTGTTCTGAAAAATTGGGTTTATTTTGACTTCGAACTCAAAGAGGTTTATCAAGATTTAAAATTCTGTTGAATGAGAAAAGTGCCGTGTGTGTAATATTGAGGGAATTTAGAACAAAGGTCTGCCTTTTGGACAAGGAAAGGGAAAAGTTTGTTTTCATGATGTACTGCAGATTTCTGATATAAGCACATAGAAACGGGGCGAATAGGATTAAGCTTGCGTAACAGTCTACAGGTGGAGGAAGTTTTAGCGAATGAAAAAAAGACAAAACGTTAACGAAACGCACACAATTAAAGGAAACTGATTAACAAAGAGCGAACTAAAGGAAAGAGTTTTTGTGAGAGAATCCACTGCAGTTTGAGAGTATTTATATTTATATTATTGTCGATTTCGTTGCAGTTCGTTAAGTAAAAGAAAACTGATTTTTACATCCAGTAAGCGGATTGTTTCATCCATCTGGTAGATTGAGACAAAAGATCGGTTTGTCCTTGCCACAGACGACTAAGCGTGGGAAGACAGTTCATTAAAACTTCATCTCCTTCAGCAATAAATGTGCGGTGAATATTTTATTTTAGATCCTAGTTCAGTCAGAGCGGACAGTATCATAAAAGCACAGCATTTTTGATATCGCCTAAGCCAGGACAAAAAATTCTTGTTTTAAATTTGTTTTTAACCTCAGTTCATCACAAATCGATTCTCCACCAACATGGAAACGTCTCACAGACTTCTAGGGAGCTTAATCGCCTTTTTGGCGTTCCTTACACTCAGTGGACATGCTTTTGACAGTGGCTTCTACGCCGACAACGGCGTTTACCAAACGATAGCCGTGGATCGAATGAGACGGAAAGAGCAAAGAGAAATGCAACAAGAAATTCTCACTCTTCTGGGACTGCACCATCGGCCGAAACCGTTAACTCACGGGAGTGCAGAATCAGCGTCCGCGCCCAAGTTCATGTTGGATTTGTATAACACGCTTAAAGAAGAGGACGGTTCGATTGATGAGAAGTTGTTCACGGACGCGTTAAAGGAGAGGCATTTGAACAGCAGTTTGGGGAATGTGAAGACCATTGACGACGCTGACATGATCATGAGCTTTGTGAATCACGGTAAGTGTAGTAATTAAGCATTTTAAAAATGTGAAGTTTCCACTTTGCTTCTTTGCATGAACCGTGTACTCTTTTACAATCGTTTCTTCCTATTGTGTCAAAAAAAGGGCTAGGCTTTTCGTCCACCCCCTCCCCCCAACCGAAATTCCCTCCTAAAAGCGAGTGGACGCACGCACACATACATGAATCTCATTACCTTTTACCTCTATATCAAAATGAATTCATATTAAATAAAAAGTTTTTTGCGGCGAATCTCGTCGCGATAAAACTTTTTTTGTTTTAAATCTTACACCATGCGAAACACGAAAAAAAGGGCAACGAGATCAGAAAGGGGATCTCTGGCACACCTAAAGTTTCTCATTTACTCACACAGAAACAAAAGCACTATTTCTGGATAGATAAATTGACTAACAAATACACCAGCACTGCCTTAGACCCCATTCCCATACCTAGATCGATCCAGCAAGATCGACCAATACCGAGGGGATTCTCGCTAAATTACATTCAGCTTAAACGGCTTAGATGTCTGGCACGCCTACTGACGCTGCTAAACGATAATTAATTACCCCCTAATAGCTTTAGTGGGCGTGTCAGACATCTAAGCGGCTTAAGCTAAGTGCAATTTAGCGAGAATCTCCTCGGAGATGGACCGATCCTGCTAGATCGATCTAGGTATGGGGATGGGGTCATATGTATCAGCACCATCTTAAGCACCGGTTGGTGCTATGTGATGGGCGCGTTTAGTACCGCCCCTAAAACCCGATATGCACGTACGCACAAATACGCACACAAACGCCATATGCTCAAGTAATCAAGCACTAGCGCTCTAAGACAAGTGCTAATACATTACTTGGACACATACATGCGCGCGCGCGCGCACACACACACACACACACACACACACACACAGATATATATGGCAACCAGACGCAACACACCGACAAACACATATCGTGAATGCTAACGCACTCACACACACAGTGACACACACACACACACACACACACTGCATTCCAACCACGCGTGAACTGACGGCCTCAATTTTCACACCATTCCCTTTTCTCCCTTTTGCAAACATTGGCCGGGGTGTCAAATACTCAGCTTGGTACAATTTAATCGGCTTGTTTAAGATGTTAATAGTCACAATTGAAACAACACACCTGCATCATTAGTTTGCCACGCAGCTATCAGCCTGTCTGCTGTCTTCATCAGTGTCAGTGTCAATTTTTCCTGTACCCTCTCGCGAGAGCTCAGGTTCAAGGTTAATTCATACGATAGTTTTTTAAAAGGAAAATGATAAGCGTAAAGCTGGTTTAATCGGTTGCGATGTCGTGGATGTGACAAATTGTTACCAGTATGCCCCATACATTGATGTCATTATTGGCAAATACTTTATTATTGGATTGATAAATATAAAAAATGGATATATAATGATGAGGAAGCAATAATGAAGGGAGAGCTAAGCCGCTGCGTGGGGTTATTTTCTGAATATGAAAGGAGCAGAGGTTTAGTACAAGATAATTGAATATAAAATGACATAATTGTATATGAAAGGGAAGGTAAACCATTTTGCAGTATTAAAGGAATTGCCCAATTCAGTTGCTCAGGTCAAAAATTTACAATTTTATCTGATTCTAGATCTGGAATTTTGTGCCGTAAAACATATTAAATTTTGTCATTTATGTTCGCTGAGGAGCAAATGTTGGTGACAGTTGTAGAACGTCATTGTGAGCATGAGTATGGAAAAGTTCTCCGTCGTCTGTAGGAGAGACTATTGACTTGCTTATCGTTGAGGAAAAGTGACAATAACTAATGTGAGGAGTTCCTGCAAATTAGCACACCGCCACAATCCAATGTCTGTTCTCATTACTGAAAGTGCCGTGTTTTTACTTTTTTCTTTTTTTTTTAATATTTGGTTTCTATCGATCACTGATTCAAACTTTTTCGCATATCCATGTTGTAGTCTCTCACGTTTTTGATGGATGTTTTAAAATTGACAAAAGCCGTAATACTTTAAGAAATATAAATGGAACAGCAGGTTATTATAAATAGCCAAATAGGGTGGACTTATAGATGAATTTTAATTCTGAAAAAATGAAAGTTAAAATGACAGACGAAAGATTGAACGAGAGAGAGAGAGAGAAGAAGAAGAAGAGAGAGATCCTGAATTCGCAGGACGTCCCATATATAGACACATAATGCGTCTGACCAGTCGGACAGCATTTTGTAAGTGCCAAATCACTTTGGCAAGATTTTCCCGCACCAAGCCTGCGGCTGATATAAAGTTATGGACAAGCTTTGTACTCAATATCACTGCCAGATATAACACCTGTGCCCCCCTCCCCCCCCCCCCACCTCCAAAAAAATCTCCTTTGAAACTGGATTGCAGTCCAGCATGTCTCCTGTGATGAGGACTGAAACGCACTCTGTGAAAATGACTTGAACACGGCACATGAAGACATCAAATCTTTTTTCAAGTAGGCGTTGGCAACTGCACCGCAGCTACTGCCATAAACTGTCAGCAATAATCATCTCAGCGTTCAGTCTTTACTAACACTTGTGTTCAGAGGTACTTTAGAAGAGAATAGTTTGGTTAACAGTCATCTTGAGAGAATGGTTCCACAGGCTTTTGGTAGGAAAATGTCCGCTCTGAACCAGAACTCGCTTAAGGAGTATACCATTTCTCAAGTTGGGTCTACCGAGCGGAAAAATATTTTTTTTCTGAAAAAAAAAAATTTGTCACTTTAAAATTGCTCGCTGCGGGTCTGTTTCATATGTAATGATATAGTTAGGTCTACACAGATACTTGACTTTAAAGACAGCCTCAGTGGGTTAGACCCTTCAAATAGCAAGAAAATGAATTTTCCTGGAAACCTCACCAGTTGATTCAGCTGATTCAGTGGTCATTCATTTAAAGGCATCCATTAGACATGTTTGCAGCACAAACATAATTTTCCTGGTAATTTTAGTCTTGTTATACCCCATCCAAAACCATTGAAAAATCGTTACCTATGAATGTTTATAATTTTTGTTATATAGAGGTCTAATGCCCATTGTGTAACTTACAGATGTTGAGCACATCAATTATGAGAAAGAAAAGCAGAGTATATTGACAAAAATCATAAAACGCCCTCAATTAATGTAGACAAACAAAATGGTTTAAAAGTAGATTTTAACATAGAGAAACTGTTTCTATCAGATTTTTGCCACTTCAAGTTAATGTTCGCACACACAACTTCTTGTTAGTCACAGCTGACGTTTTGCACATTGGTAGGTCAAGGTCAAGGTCATTTGGAGTTTGTTGAATATTCCAGTCAGCGTCTGTTGTAACGCAAGGTCAAAGCAAAAGTCATTCGAATCCCTTTAAATACCCATTACAAAGATTTAGACGTGTGCAAGACTTCTAAGTTAGCGTGCTAGAAGTCTCGTTGTAGCGAGAGGTCATGCACAAGGTCACACACAGCCCTTAAAATAATCACAGCAAACCTCTTAAAGTGTTCATGATTTGTTAGATAAACATTTCCACATCCTACTAGTGCTTTGATTATAGTAGGTTGATTTTTTTCGATGCATTTGGTTATATTGTTGCAAGTAAACTGTATAAACAAGAGAAAGCAATTTTTAGAAAATCGCAAATGGTCTGAAATTCTTATTTCAGCTGTTTCGTGCAACCCTGAGTTTTGGAGGTGACTGTAAACGGCAACAGCATGCTGCTGATAGTATAGGAGTTAGTTGCCAGTAATCTCTGAAACTCGGACAGTTTTTGAGCCAGCCGCAGCGCCAAGCCTCTTACTGAAAAATATTTAACACCAAGTTACCTGATTAGGGCCTATATAAATTTGATTGATTTAGAAAAAAGCGCCCATGGTTTTGTCGAACGCTGTGGTCTTTTAGAGTTGTTCTGGGAGCGGTCCCTCCCACTTCACGTGTCCATATTGCAAGATGAGGTTAGTGCCTTGCTCAGATTGGTAGGCCTATATAATCTCAGCGACATCCTAGCTACGTCTTCGACAATGTAGATACCAGTGACAGGTGTGTGTGTGTGTGTGTGTGTGTGTGTGCACTTGCATGCTTGCGAAAGTGCATGCTTGTGTGTGTCTTAGTATTTTTTTTTCACAATTTTGGGTTTTTGGATAAAAAACTTGCGGTACCCTCTATTCCAGGGTCACAGAGAAAAAAAATCACGAAATTTTCACAGATTTTTTTTGGGGGTTAATTCTCTGAACTTTTGTCCGGCAAGAATTTTGAAGAAAAAAAATGGCGTCATCGCTCAGCTGGTAGAGAGTCGTAGCACGGTCTGTCCGCAAACCCGTTCAAATGCAGTGCACGTGCGAGGGGGCATGGGGCAGAGAAATCCCTTTGATGCCTTATCTCCATCCACGTGCTGAGCAAAAACAAACAGTGACCGTCGGCCCGTTAATTTGGGAAGATAACCAAACCATTTAACGCTGCGTTACGTCTTCGCTCGAAGGCGTCGGCTGGTGTTTTTCCTTAAGTCACTTTGATTGGAGACCGTTGTTGATTGCCTTACGAACAAACACAACGTGTAAAATTTAGCCCACAGCAAAATGGATTCATTTTGGGTGAAGGAACGNTATAAGCACATAGAAACGGGGCGAATAGGATTAAGCTTGCGTAACAGTCTACAGGTGGAGGAAGTTTTAGCGAATGAAAAAAAGATAAAACGTTAACGAAACGCATACAATTAAAGGAAACTGATTAACAAAGAGCGAACTAAAGGAAAGAGTTTTTGTGAGAAAATCCACTGCAGTTTGAGAGCATTTATATTTATATTATTGACGATTTCGTTGCAGTTCGTTAAGTAAAAGAAAACTGATTTTTACATCCAGTAAGCGGATTGTTTCATCCATCTGGTAGATTGAGACAAAAGATCGGTTTGTCCTTGCCACAGACGACTAAGCGTGGGAAGACAGTTCATTAAAACTTCATCTCCTTCAGCAATAAATGTGCGGTGAATATTTTATTTTAGATCCTAGTTC